AGCTGCACATCCTTCTTTGCACGAAAAACTTGTGCACCTAACCGAAAAAGGCACTTAAGCGAATTTTCTTTACTACTTCAATGAGGAAGTTATCCGAATCCCTATGAAACCAAATAATGGAAAAGCACTTATCACGTAGAAAATAATGCAAGCGAAATTTTTTTCGAATGGTTTCTTATTATTTTTATAACTACATAAATTGATAGCCATTTTCTTTGTTCTGCGATATGAGCAAAATAAATAAAAGCTTGTAAAATAAGGTAATTGTAGGGCCAGTGCAGGTAAACGTAATACTTTCTTTGATAATTGATACTAGTTGCATAATTTTTAAGGCAGGTATCGCCAATGTGCATGTATGTTGAATGCATCTATCAGAGCAGTTTCCTTATAAATTTAAAAAATAATGTCTCAGATGCGCATTTTCGGGTAGGTATCTTAAATGTGCACTTAGGCATAAAGGCAGCAAAGCAAAATGTACTGTAGTTCCTGCCGACGATCAAGTCATTTCAACCACAAAATAATATTATTTGCAAGAACCATTCACTAAAATTGTAACTAACTTTTTATTATTTATTAATTCCTTTTTGATATTCAGCAATAGCAAGATGGAAAAAAATTATAAACCAAAATTAGTAATATTTTTATGAATATAGTTATAAAAGTTCACAGAGGAAACGCCGGAAAACAATGCATTGGCAACGACATAAAATGTATGGAAATTTATGAACATAATGATAACTACGATAAAGAAGCATGAGAGAAGTGTGCGAAGGAGGAAGTCTTTTCAATTTGAACAAAAAAAGCTTTAAATGCCGTTGTAAAATGGTCAACAAATTTCTTATAAAATATTTTGATTTTTGCTGGGTGTAATTGAAACTCAGTTCAATGAGTATTAAGGAAAAGGAAAATTTGAAAATAATAAACAGAAAAAAAGATGGGTGAAGAAAAAGTTAAGTTGAATGTTATACCCAAATTCCTAAAAAGTAAACAAATCGATTTTTTGTTTAAATGTCACTGTATAGAGCTCTTTAAATCTNTCAATGAGTATTAAGGAAAAGAAAAATTTGAAAATAATAAACAGAAAAAAAGATGGGTCTTCACCCAGTTAAGTTGAATGTTATACCCAAATTCCTAAAAAGAAAACAAATCGATTTTTTGTTTAAATGTCACTGTATAGAGCTCTTTAAATCTATTTTATTTGTTATGAATAAGGCCATAAGCATATACCGTTTTTATAAATAAATCATATANAGAAAAAAAGATGGGTGAAGAAAAAGTTAAGTTGAATGTTATACCCAAATTCCTAAAAAGTAAACAAATCGATTTTTTGTTTAAATGTCACTGTATAGAGCTCTTTAAATCTATTTTATTTGTTATGAATAAGGCCATAAGCATATACCGTTTTTATAAATTAATCATATAGCAAGATGCTATATATTTATGTATACAATTTTTGGCTGGCGAAATATGTAGTTTTTTTAACTTAATAAAAAAACGTATTTAACCACATACAATTTTTATAATAATGAATGGCGCAACACAACAACACTTTTTGTTGCCCGAAACCCTTGAACACGTGCCTGTCATCTATTTCTTCTGTTTCGACATTTCGCTATTTTGCTTTTCTTTCATTTTGACGTCATTCGCATTGTCAGATTTTTGAAATTCGTTTCGGTTCGACATTCTGCTATTTCATAATTCTTTCTTTCTCATATAATCCATCTTCCATTTCTTTCATTTCAATCCCGTTCGCATCATCGAACGAGCCTGTCAAATACGGCCGCCATCAAGCTTTTCAGTTTGGCAGGCACATCCGTTATTAGAAAGAGAATAGACAAAAAGGGGCATAGGATTCCATACTTGTAAGTATATACGATGCTTATAATAGAGAAAAGAACGAGTCTAGAAAAATCGACAAACAACCAAGCAAGCAAGAAGCACAAAAAGTGTTTCACCGTCTCATGCTCTTCAAGGCAGGATGGGCAAATGGACTTGTCATTTACGTTTACCACAGTCAAGTTTTGTGCGACCTGAAGTGACCAGTCAGCAGTCCAACAATTTGTCTGCACTGGCGTCTGCTCAGTGAGAGCAAAAAACTAGAAAGACCTTCTGAGATTGAAGGCAACATGAGTTTTGCCCACCTGCATGCCCTCGATGCCTCACAGTCATTGCTGAGCGAAGTATTCACCCAGTTTCCATGCAATTAACTCAGCCTGGAAGACCGAAGCATATTCCCCAACAGAAAAGTGAAGCTTATCCGCACTAACTTCGAAAAAGACCCAGATCATGACCCAGAGTCAGTTTTGGAGCCATCAGTGAAGATTCGACAATGTGTGAGTCCGGTCTCAGTGATGGAATTAAACACGCAGTCCGTCTCAGGGAACTCAACATTATAAAATCTCTTCAACAAAGATACTGGTGGCGTACTATCCTGTAGCGTTGAAAATACACAAGTGCTTAAATCTCTGCTGCCAGCAATTTCCGCCGCTCCCCACTCTGTATTATGCNGCTTTTCAGTTTGGCAGGCACATCCGTTATTAGAAAGAGAATAGACAAAAAGGGGCATAGGATTCCATACTTGTAAGTATATACGATGCTTACAATAGAGAAAAGAACGAGTCTAGAAAAATCGACAAACAACCAAGCAAGCAAGAAGCACAAAAAGTGTTTCACCGTCTCATGCTCTTCAAGGCAGGATGGGCAAATGGACTTGTCATTTACGTTTACCACAGTCAAGTTTTGTGCGACCTGAAGTGACCAGTCAGCAGTCCAACAATTTGTCTGCACTGGCGTCTGCTCAGTGAGAGCAAAAAACTAGAAAGACCTTCTGAGATTGAAGGCAACATGAGTTTTGCCCACCTGCATGCCCTCGATGCCTCACAGTCATTGCTGAGCGAAGTATTCACCCAGTTTCGATGCAATTAANAAAATCGACAAACAACCAAGCAAGCAAGAAGCACAAAAAGTGTTTCACCGTCTCATGCTCTTCAAGGCAGGATGGGCAAATGGACTTGTCATTTACGTTTACCACAGTCAAGTTTTGTGCGACCTGAAGTGACCAGTCAGCAGTCCAACAATTTGTCTGCACTGGCGTCTGCTCAGTGAGAGCAAAAAACTAGAAAGACCTTCTGAGATTGAAGGCAACATGAGTTTTGCCCACCTGCATGCCCTCGATGCCTCACAGTCATTGCTGAGCGAAGTATTCACCCAGTTTCCATGCAATTAACTCAGCCTGGAAGACCGAAGCATATTCCCCAACAGAAAAGTGAAGCTTATCCGCACTAACTTCGAAAAAGACCCAGATCATGACCCAGAGTCAGTTTTGGAGCCATCAGTGAAGATTCGACAATGTGTGAGTCCGGTCTCAGTGATGGAATTAAACACGCAGTCCGTCTCAGGGAACTCAACATTATAAAATCTCTTCAACAAAGATACTGGTGGCGTACTATCCTGTAGCGTTGAAAATACACAAGTGCTTAAATCTCTGCTGCCAGCAATTTCCGCCGCTCCCCACTCTGTATTATACCAACATCCGGTTCTTTTTAATCTGCAGGTAGCCTTTAAGGCTCTCCCACGTATGAAAACACAAAGTGACGGTAAGTGTAGCAGTGCGTGAGGAGGACTATACACACCAAAAAAANATCTAAAAAGTAAAAGAAATGAATTGAAATTGGAAGGAGGCAAAAAATAATTGATATAGCAAGTGTTTATTGTGCTTGTGCTTGTGTGAATGTTATTCNCAGAGTCAGTTTTGGAGCCATCAGTGAAGATTCGACAATGTGTGAGTCCGGTCTCAGTGATGGAATTAAACACGCAGTCCGTCTCAGGGAACTCAACATTATAAAATCTCTTCAACAAAGATAATGGTGGCGTACTATCCTGTAGCGTTGAAAATACACAAGTGCTTAAATCTCTGCTGCCAGCAATTTCCGCCGCTCCCCACTCTGNTCCTGTTACTCTCTTTTAGTGAGCGCATTTTGCTTACGCTCTGGCATTTTGACACTTTTCAGATTTTAGTCCAAAAAGATAAGGAATGAACCTATTATACCAACATCCGGTTCTTTTTAATCTGCAGGTAGCCTTTAAGGCTCTCCCACGTATGAAAACACAAAGTGACGGTAAGTGTAGCAGTGCGTGAGGAGGACTATACACACCAAAAAAATTAAAGTTAAATAAAGAGGCTATCAGGCAACCATTTTGGTTCTTTACTATCGAAACCAAATAAATTTTCGTGGACCCCCACTTACAACTCATAGACCCCCATATTTTTTTTAAAGCCAACGTAGACCCCCGTCGAGTCTCCCATGGACCCCTGGGGGTCCACCTGGACCACTTTGGAAATCACCGGTTTACAGCATGACGACAAATAACTGTTACCCAGGTTTTTTGATAAATAAAAGGGTCCTTTATAGATTTTGCGAAAAAAGTATTTTATTTTTAATTTTTCACCGATTTTACTTTAGTTGTAAAAATTAGCTTTTAAATTTCAATCCTTATTTACATTTTCTAGCACTGCAAAACTTTGAGAGAAAAGTTCATTTGGCACGCAGGTCTTCGTCAGTTAATTTATTCCATATCTTCTGTAACTGTAGGCTAATTTTCTCCATTTTGAGTCCCTTATACTCCCCCTTTTGTCCAACATAAGGCCTCATTCTCGAAAATCAAATAGACTCAGAACTGCTGACTAGGACGGCCATTCATTTGTTCAACCCTATACAGTTAACTTTTTCTTTTTTTTATACAAAGCCTTGAAAAAATACACCTGAAAAAGACTTGCGTGCTAAATTGACTTTTCTCTCAAAGTTTACACAGCTTTCAAATGTAAATAAGGATTTAAATTTAGAAACTAATTAATACAACTAAAGTAAAATCTGTGGAAAATTGACAATAAAATACTTTTTTTCGCAAAATCTATAAAGGACCCTTTTATTTCTCAAAAAAAAAAACTGGGTAACAGTTATTCGTCGCCACGCTGTATAAAAAATGTCTGAAAAACATACCTTGGTATAAATTTACCGATACTTTCTAAGTCGGCTTTCCATTGCATAGAGCCTCGACGTTGCTTTTCTAGTGATTCAAGCTCCAGGAACCGTTTCCATTTTTCCGGATCATTTTGTGACAATAGTAGGCAACGCACTGTGCCCATACATTGATACAAGGGATGAGGACTTGTAAACTCTTTTATTGACACCTATAAAGTATTTATATAAATATTATGTGGTACACGTGCATAATATGTAATTTTAATATATGTACATAAATAGTGAGGGATGCGGTGCAATAAAGCTCGTCGAAATAATGACCACGACAATAAATCTTAAAAAAAAAACTAGAATCAACCCGCAAAGGATATTAATTCGAATAATAATAATATGTTGGCGATTACACTTTTACTAAGTGATTGGTCGAGCTTCTCCTCCAATTTATGGTGTGTCCTAATGTTATAACACAAATGGAGAGAAGTACAATTCTTTTATGAGAAGTTTTTTCTAGGCAGGAATCTGATATTAATTCTATTTTCGGAAATAAATCTCTAAGATTACTGGAACTATCCCGCACGGATATAAATTCTAATTTCGTGGCCATTGGTTGTGCCACAGGGCCACGCTGCGATCGAGCGAAACGCGTGCTTGTGGGACCTTTATAGAGAGATGAACAGGGAAGCGAGACGTATTTTCTGCAATAAGAATAGAGACGCCGAAATACCTGAGTGCCAAGTATGTGAAATGCTGGCCGACAGGAAAAACCTCCAAAAAATTTTAACATAGAGTTAGTTAACAGAGAGTAAGTTTCAAGACCACAATATAACCAGTAAACAACCTTCGGTGAATTTGGCGACTGCCTTCCTCGGGGATGAATATGCTAGGGATGAAATTATTGGTACACACGCCTTCCAAGCACGCAGGGTTGCTTTTAAGAAACAAAAAATAATTAACTCCAAATAGTTTCAAAAAGTATAGTGTAAAACGAAATTTATTGAATAATTCCACATAAAATGGTATACATAAATGACGCATTTTCTAAACGATTTAAATTAAACGCATTTGCGAATTGATAGAAAAGTACTACGGATTGTAAATTTTTGTTAACTAAATTTTGTTAATTAAATGAAAATTTTCAACCCGGCCTGATGGTTTGATTTTATTACTAAGGCGTCTAATAAATTCAAGGCTTTTAGTTCTAGAAGAATAAATGTCAGTAAAGACAAGTCTTTTTTGTATAATTTCTGATTTTAATTGCTTAACTTCTTTTGAACCAGAGCAACTGTCAAAAATTTCCAACAGTAAAAATTACGAATTTGCACAGCAGAAATGTAAAATTTTCTCGCCATAATAAAAAGTTTTTTCAAGATGGAACTTTTCTACTAATTGACATGAAATTACTATCTCAACGCTCGGAGCGCTGCCACTGAGGGCCTTTGCCAACTGATTAAAAAGAGAAAATTTGGAAAGACCACACAAAAATTTTGAGATTTCTCGTTGTGATTACGAATGCCATAGTTTTTACCTAGCTCGTTGGTCTACGCAAAATTTTGACGGCTTTTAAATATGTATACACATAAAGTTGTTGGCGGTAATAAGGAGTCAAAATTAAAATGGAGAAAAGAACAAAAAGCGTAGGTTAGTTGTCAGTTATAAAATAAATCCAATTTATTTGCGAATATTTGTTTATTCTTTTTATTGAAAGGCAACCAGTCGGAAAAGCTTGTGTTAATTATATTGATATCAGAACCTGGCAGCTCGCACGTTGTCTAAATTCTCAAGTAACATAAAGTCCACAAAATGTATAAATTTTAACAATACACAAAAATAGAGCTTTCGCACGAGCGTTTGTTTGGTTTTTCAACACCATTTATAATTTTCTTTTAATAAAATCACGATTTGACAAATACTTAAATTTATTTATCTAATAATAATACAGCACACAACCCTGAAATCTAAGAAAAAGTCTGAGGAAGGCCATTAAATAGCAGCACACAACCCCGTGCCTTCCTCAGGAGTGAATATAACTACAACAACAACGACTACTACAACAACAACCCAAAAAGGTTGGTTACTGTCTATACTGTGTTCAAGACCAGGGCGAACTACTGTATAAACAACCATGTCGAACCAGTGACTGATGTCCAGGACGTTGCTAAATTAACGAGGGTACACTTTGCCGCTCTTCTGAATGGGAGCAGCACTGGAAGTTGTGCTGAAGATGAACCTGCGCCTCCAGTCGATGATGGCGTAGGCGATGTTCCACCGCCTGACAAACTGACTAACTGCTGGAGCTGACAGCCTGCCAGCTGAGCTATTTAAGTACGGCGGTGAGAAGCTGATAAGGTACACGTATCAACTCTAATGCAGAATATGGACGGATGAATGCATGCCTGACGACTGGAGTTAAGTCTGCTCTGCCATAAGAAAGGCGAACAAAATCCATATAAATCCAAACTTGAATCTTTGAGCAACATTTAAAAAAAAAATCAACAAACTTTCGTAAAAATTTCGAACTTTTTAACTCGATTTTTAAGAATTAGTTTGGGTATGCAGTTTGTTAGTTCATTCAATTTTACTGCAAGATTTTTGGCAATTTATTTTTATTTTTATGTTATTCATTTTATTCCATACGAAGCATTTTCGACGATTTTTTTTTATAAAGAGAAAATGAGCAACACCTTGAACGAAAATAATTCCCAAAAATTTATGGTAAATGAAATTGCATACTTAAAATATTTCCTAAAAATCGAATTAAAAAGCTCAAAATTTTGACCAAGTTTGTTGATTTCTTTTTTAATTTTTTTAAAAAATATAATATACTTTTAAAAACAAATAATTAAAATTAAAAAATATTAAGATATATGGTGAAATATTGTCATTATGTGACTGTCGTATAGTTGTGTTAAGAACTCAGGGCTATCAGAGAATCCATCGTAGCGTCGATTTTCGTGAAACCTACGAAAGTGCTATCACAGAATCCGAATGGCTACGAACGTAAATTCGAAATTCGTAGAGAGCATTCATTGAATCCGTTCAGATACACTACGACGAGTTTATGCTGGCGGCATAAAATTTAAAATCACTGAATCTTAAAAATAACGGAGAAAAGCTGCATTATTGTTAATAATAAATATTTATTATACTCCATATTTGTTATAGTTTGATATAATTCCATATATTTGTGTAAACGTAGACGTAAAATATAAATGGCATACATACCTACATATGTATGTACATACATATATTCATCTGCTAGACGCTATTTAATGAATGTTTTTTTTTTTGAAGCGAGGAAATAATAGTTTAACCACAATTTATTAGGAAAGAAATCTAATTACTTTAATATCATATAAATTTATTTTAAAAAATACAAATTTAAATTAATTAAAAAAAAAATAGTTTTCTCTTTAAAAGAATAAAATCTAAACTAAAAAAAAAAAATAATTAAAAAAAAAACAAAAATGAAATAAAAAAAGAAAAAAGCTCCACTGCCGACGACTCAGACTCGAACTCGGATCTCTCAATTGGCAGTCTAGTGCTTTGCTCACTCGGCCATTGCGACTGCTGGGGCAGCGTGAGCAAAATGGCATACATAAATGTCCGCGGTGAAGGTAGAAAATTTCACATTCAACTATTAGGGCCGGTTGCTCAAAGCCTGATTACCACTAATCATAGGTTAACATCGTTATCGACGTTTTCAATTCTGTGCATTTAGAACGGTGTCAGTAACGTCGATAACGATGTTTAAACAGGGATTAGTGCCAACCAGGCTTTGAACAACCGGCCCTTAGTCTGCTCCAATAGCAGTCCGGTTTACAGGATTTAGTCAGAACTTACAGGAAGTCGTTCCTATTGACATAAAACCTGTAAGTAGGAACACATTTGAGAGAGTAACTGAGCAACTGTTCCTAGTCAGAAGTTACAGGATTTAGTCCGGAGTATTTTTTCCAGTAAGATCATGAAAAGTGTCAAACGATCAGCTGATTTACATGTGCAAACAAAAACTGAAAGCGGTGAAAGCTAAGAACCTTTTATTTGTTAAAAAATGGAAGTAAACAACGAAATATTTGAATATGTATAGATTTTAATAATTATTCAGTGATATTTCAGCTAAATCAGTGTTGTACAAATGACATGTAAACAAACCGACTGACGTTTTTACAGGAAATAGTGCTTTTTGCGTTCCTATGCACTTATGCATCTGTTCTCCTAATTGTAGTTTGACAGTTCCACAGGTTTTAGTCCGAAGTTCAAAGGAACAGACTATATGTAACCAGACATTTGCATGCGCATAGAAATATTAATGACTTGAAAAATTTACTAAAAATTAAAAACATTTCCATAAGCATTCATTAGCGTTTTTATTACTTTTTATTATAAGAGCGTATTTACGAAAACAACTTTATTCAACGGTTAATACAAATTAATAAGTCCCGGCTTAATAAGTGTTACCCCGATGTACTACAAGATTAAAGGGATGAAATATAGTAGAATGCCCACTTCTGCTAAAATACGCACAAATGAGCCATACATTGTCTAATGCATTAATATTAACACAATATATTCATTTTATATCAGGGGGATAACAGCAAAATGCGTAGAAAAAGCGCTTGCCACGTTAGTCCCCTTTCAGACACGTCAAGTCTTGAAAGCAATTTTTTTCACATTCTCTTTTGTGTTTTCTATTTGCTTCCACACGCGTCAACTTTAATTGAATTCAAGTCCTTGGTTCTTTAAATGGGAAGCAACGAAAAGATCAAAAGAGACAAGAAAACTTGAAACGAATTGACGGTACGGAGGTATCTGTACTCTTCCCCTCTCTTCTCACCTCCTTCGCCTACGAACGAGCAAACTTGAAAGCAAGACTTGACGTGTCTGAAAGGGAACTTAGCTACCGATGTCGCTAAGGAATTGGATGTGGACATAGTCCTTCCTTGGATAGCGAATAGACAAAATTTTCGGGCTAATTATCGTGCATCTAAAGCCGAAGATTATAATCGCAAAGCAATATTGCCGAAATATACAATACATAAACATTTTGGATTTGAACTCATTACTTCCATCTAAAATTGGGGAATATAACTCGCTATATGAAAAAGTAATGCTTTCGAACGCGTAAAATCGCTTCGAAATCGAAACGATTGTTTCTTAGAAAAAGACGCTATCATTTTGGAAGGAGAGTATAAAGTGTGGTCAGAACTATTGA